TGATTCTTGTTTGTATTTCAAAGTTTTTACTCAACTTTGGTCTTTTTATCAGTAAGACTTGAAAGTCCTGTATTCCATTAAAGGTCCTCCTTCCCCTCTGACCCCTACTGAAGAATTAGACTCAGCATTGTAGGGTTTTATTCTTGGTAGGAATAATGTGTATGTACGTATATATTTACTACCATGTGACCTTGAGAAAATTATTTAACCTTTTAGGACTTCAGTTTCTTCATTTGTGAAATTAAGAGATTGCACTTGATGACCTCTGAGGCCCCTTCCCGCTCTAAATCTATGACTGCGAAGATGGTGGTGCTATTGACAGAAACAGGAAAATCAGAAAGAGGAGCAGGATTTGAGAGAAGAGTTCAGTTGGGTTTGTAGGGTGACATCCAGATTGAATTAATACTATTTTTAGGTCCAAAGGGGTGGACAAAACGAAAAGGTGACCAGTTTCTCCTATCTATATTTTCCTACCACTTGGCAGCCAATGCTCTTCCAAATGAGTGATTTTGTGGTAATTCAGTATCCAAAGTAGGAAAGTAAAAAGATGGTCCAGGCACAAAACCTACATCCTCCAATGAGATTTATTCTTTGCAGCCAACCAAGGCCTTTATAGCTGACTTGGCCAAGGCCTGGGGATAATACCACTATTCAGTTCTGTGTTTTGAAATGAGTCTCTATGAAATATCTCAGTTGGCCACTTTGAATGTCATATTACCTAGTTGGGAAGTACAACAACAAATCTACTATCTAAGATTTTTCTTCTTTATATATTAAAAGTCCCATCTCTGACGTGTGTCCATGATGTTTTACCCATTTTCCTTGCTTCCCAGGGGTTCTCAGTAATTTGTAGACAAGCAAGATTTTGCTTCTATTCCTAGATCTATGCTTTGGAATCTATGAGGATTGTAATCAGTGGAGAAAGGGTGATGAAAGGAGAAAAGGAAAGAAGGAAGGAGTTTCACTCTGTAGTAGACAGTAAATCCACTAGGACTGTTCTTATAGAGATAAAGACCTAGTCTCAGGGGTCTTGGCTATAATCTATGAAACATTAATATGTACATTTCTCAGATCCCAGGGCCCATTATAATTCTTAGGATACCTCAATCAATCAGTTGACAAGCATTTATTAAGTGCCTTTTATGTGCCAGGCATTATGGTAGGCACTGAGATACAAAGACATAAAAAATGTCCCTTCCTTCATTGAGTTTACATTCTATTAGGGGAGACAAGATGTACATATGTAAATATATGAAAGTATATGCAGAATGAATACAAGGGAGATTGTTTGGTGGGGGAGGAGAATCAGAAAAGTGCTCACATAAAAGTGTTGTTTGAAATGAGTTTCAAAAGAAACTTAGGATTTGCAGAGCCAGAGGTGAAGAGGAGATAATGCATTCTAAGCCTGAGAGACAGCCAGTACAAAGACAGATATGGGAGATGAAGTGTTGTGTACAAAGAATAGTAAAAAGACTGCTATGGGAGGACCAAAGAGTGCATGAGGGGGAACAATATGTAAAGTCTGGAGAGGCTTTTAATGCCAAACAAAGGAATTTGTAATTATTCTTAGAGGTGACAGGGAGCCACTGGAGTTTATTGAGTAGAGTAGTGAAATGGTCAGATCTTTGCTTTAAGAAAATCACTTTGGGGGTGGCTAGGTGTCACAGTGAATAGAACTCTGGCCTTGGAGTCAGGAGGACCTGAGTTCAAATCCAGCCTCAGACACTTAACACTTACCAGCTCTGTGACTCTGGGCAAGTCATTTAACCCCGATTGCCTCACCAAAAAGCAAAAAATAAAATCACTTTGGAAGCTTTGTGTTGGCTGGATTGGAAAAGAAAGAGAAAGACAAGTGAGCGAACCATGAGGAGGCTATTACAATAGTTCAGGAGAGAAGTAATGGGGGCCTGACCTAGGATAATAGCCTGTGAATTGAGAGGATGCTATTGATGATACAAAAGTAGAATTCAGAAGACTTGGCAACTAATTGGATATGTGGGGTGAGGGAAAATGAAAACTCAAAGATTTTGACTCCACGATTGTGTGATTGGAAGTATGGCAAAAAAACAAAGGTGTGGTCAAACGTTTGTTCATGGCCTGAATTTTCTGACTTAACTCTTACCTATTGTGAGCCAGCCTCCAGATTTGAAAATGTGCTCTAGGTATAGAAACAGATTAACATTTACTCAGGGCTTTTGATTTAGTACTTCCTATTTTGGGGCATATCATATGAGATCACAAAAAAGCCCCAGGCAGTAACTAGGGGCTAGAATATAACTCTACAACAGATATCCAACCAGAAGCTAGAAATTTGAGTCTGGAGTTTAGGATGGAGGTCAGGATTGGATATCATAGATTTCAGAATGACGGTCAGGGAGGTGATAGATGAAGCTATTGGAGTGGAATAAATTGACAAGGAACAAGAGAGCGAAGAGTGCTCAGGGTAGAGCTATCAAGGAAGACTACACTAACAGGATGCTGGGAGGCAGGTGAGACAGAGAAGAATAAGTAAGAAGAGTTTTCATTTTCCACTTTCTCATTCCACTTCCTTAGGTCGATTCCATCATTAAAATAACCAATTCAACCCATGTTAATGATCACAACAGAGATGATGAATTCAAGGCAATTTAGGGAATTAATCAATGAGAGGAAGAGATACACAGCAGTATAGAATAAGACCGATGGGACTTATTCAGGCCCACTCAAGCATTTATGTCTGTCCTAGCTCTGACCTCTACTTAAATCTGATAGTGGAAGTTGGAGGGAGATAGAGTGGGTCTAAGACCTTGAATACATTTCTACTGGTAAGACCATAGGACCTTAGATTTAGAGCTGAAAGAAACCTTTAAGACCTCATTTTATAGCAGTCTCCCTGTAGTCATATTAGTAATGCCAGGGATGGGATTTGACCCTGGGTTATCTGACTCCGAATAAAGTTGTTTTTCCCCTGCCTCCACTAGACCTTCTGAACCAGTTTCAAGAGAAAGTGAAAACTCCCACTGCTCATGCTTCAGGCCATACCTGTCGTGATTGTATCTTGTTAAATGCAAAAGGCCCTCCCTTGACTTGTCTATTTCCTGGAAGAACACAAGGCACCAGCCTTACTTTCTGGTGTGTCCCCATACTTCCTAGAAAGCCAGTGATTCCTATGACTAACAGGAACTCAAGCCACTACAGCATGCCTACCAGCTGTTTGTTGCTACAGACTCTGTCACCCACAAGCTTGTAAAAAATAACAAAAATAATGTCACTGTGTGAATGTGACGAAGGATAGCTGGATTCTTTTGTCTCTAGGATCTGCTTGTGGCTCTTCTTAAAATCAACTCTGTTTGTGAGTATTGCCTAGTTGGAAGGATCTAGGGGAAGAGTTTGGTTTTCACCCAAACTCCACTGGTCTTATTGAAGACTGGGTATATATCGTAGGTGCATAATAAGTATTTGTGGAATGAATGATGGAGCAATAGGTTCGTGGCATGTGCTGTCTGGGTACAGTGGTTTTTTTCGTGGATTTCCCCCTCATGACTAATAATAATAATTCATGTATATGTCACGTTTTATAGTTTATAAGACACTTCCTATAAATTGTCTTGTTACTAACAAGGCAGTGAGGGAGGTAGTAGAGGACATTTTTCATTAGTAAGAGCAAAAACTGGTGTGGAAACCCTGTTAACCAATGCAAATTGGCAACTCTTCCAATAATGTATGATCTTAGAAACTGTCTGGGATACTGAGAATTGAAGTGCCTTGCTCATGGTCACACAGCTAATGTCTGCCAGAGGCAGAATCTGAATTCGGGTCTTCCTTACTCCAAGGCTGGTCTGCCACCCTGACATCACACACATAGCAGATTCTTTTTTTTTTTTGAATTTTGGTATTTTATTTTTCCCCAATTACATGTAAAAACAGTTTTCAACGTTCATTTTTTAAAATGTTGAGTTCCAAATTCTCTTTCTCTCCCTCCCTACCCCCCCTCACTGAGAAGGCAAGCAATTTGATACAGGTTATACATGTGTAATCATGCAAAACATATTTCCATATTAGTCAACATGTAGTCGAATCTTAATAAATATTTGTGGAATAAATGAGTGACTGAGCAGTTGGTTATTAGACTATGACTTTTGTGTAGAATGACTTCATGTGGGGAAATCTTCCTTCCTGGATGATAATAAGAATAAAAATAATTCAAATTAATTTAATCCTTTACATTTTATAAAGCACTTTCCAGAAATTATTTCATTTGACTCTTACCACAATCCTGTTGGGTAGGCAGTACAGGTATTTTTCTCCCCTGTTTCACAAAGGAAGACAATGAGGGGCTCAGAACGGTTAAAAGACACAGGACATAATTGGTAGAACTGAGTTTCAAACCCAATTCTGACTCCAAGTCGGAGGCTCTTATAGTTATATCAGTTGCCTGAGGGGCTCAAGAACACTCTGTCCCTATGATAGAATGGAGAATGGGGTGGAGGCAGAGTCACCCTGTTGGGAGTAAACATTGTTTCTAGGACTTAGATCCTGTCCTGGGGATGGGCAGGGCTGCCCGTAGTCAGTATTCCATAAATGAGTGTTTCTGGTCCAATCCTCAGCGATGCATTGATCCCTGGCTTATTGTGCTGTGGGAACCGAGCACCTCCTGGAACAGTTTGGGAATGACAGATAGCTAAGGTCATACCACCCCTTTTCCATTGTGCTGTGCCTTAGGCCAAGGTCTTTGAATCTGGGTTCTCATGTCCCACCCACATCCCTGTCCAAACCTTAGCTGATTGGGTTGAAGTCAGAATCCCTGGGAGCTTGTGTGTTATCATTGCCCTTCCTTGTCAGATTGGGGAACCGACGCTTTATTTGGTTCTAATAAAGAATTCACCTTGCTTACTCTCTGCCTTCTAACTGCTCTCTCGAGAGGATTAAAGTGTGTTTAAGCATATTGTAACTGTTGACTCTGAATGGCTCCTGCATGGAGAGGAATTTGAAATGCTCTTTCTCCACCCCATTCCTTTTAGGCTGGCATGATCCGCACAGACAAAGACGAATTCTTCATTGAACCTCTGGAGAAGGGAATGTCAGAGGAGAATGATGGCAGGATGCATGTGGTCTATCGCAGGCCCCCATCTCCAAAGCTCCTTCTCAATGACAGCAGGGAAACTGTGTATTCAGGTAAGGCTGAGAGCACTCATGACTGACTGGTGGAGAAGGCCTTGTCGGTTTTTGAGATGCTCAAGACTTCTTCTTTGTCCGTGATTATCCATGTGTTCCCTTGAGACCTTCCAATTCTGAGAAGCAAGCAGATTGCCACATTGTCTGGAATTGAAGTGTACTGCAGCTACCAGATCATACAACCACATCTGGGAGGGATTTGGCATGGGCCCAAGGTACATGAGGCTGACTGACTAAATCAGAGCTATGGATTTTGGAAATATTTTTTAAAAGTCAGCTAATTGGCCTTCAGGTGACCAATTTTTAAAATTGGTTTAATTAAACTAACAGGTTTTTATTTTGAGAACAAAAAATGTAGGCATTTTTGTCTATGAAAACAGAAGTTCTCTACTTGAAGGCAATGTCTCTGGTTTGGAGAGAGAAAGAGAAAAGAAAGGAGGGGAGGAGAGGTGGGGAGAGTGACATTGCTAAAATTTGGTAAACAGAATTCTCAAAATCCTAGATTGGCCTTGTCAGTACAGACCACGGTAAAATCTTATCTTTTCTTCATTTTGATCTGGTTGTTTTCTTTGGAAAGGGGGTCAGAGAGGGGTTGAATTTCTCTTGGGAAAATACCCCCAATCTTGTGTGTTTTTAAGATACAGCTACTTACACTATTTTTATCTGTTGGGTGTCTGAGTCTTGAGGCATACATGGCCCAGGCCTCAGGTAATATGAAAATTCTGTCACCAGAAGGATATTGGCCATTTTTGTGATCATATGCCCTATAGTAGAGGTGGCTTGGGGAAGGGGCAGGCATTCCCCATGTGTTTTAGTGCCATGGGTTTGCCCGTAAATAGAAGCACAGGGATTTGATGACTAGACTTCAGAAGTATGGCCTATGTGATCTCTGTAGTCATTTTTCCTTTATCTTTATGGCTTGTAAAAATGTTACCTGCTTTGGGATGAGACATTCAGAGCTCCTGAAGATCGGAGTGGAAGAACATTGAAAGCCTGGGATGCAGTGACTAAGTTTTATTCCATGAAATTTTTTAGCCAAGGAAAATCCCCCAATGAGCTCAGTGCCTTTCTTAGCTTCATAATTTAGAAAATCTCCTAGTATATGGGATACAATGAAGTTGCAATTGAAATTTTAAAATGTATCATTCAAATAAAAAGGTGCTCAAAATCATCAGAAATACTCTATCGACTACCAAATAAAGTCCAAAGTACTTAGCCTGGCATTTTGAGGTCCTTTGTGATCTGGTTCTACCTACTTTTCCTGCATGAAACTGCTCTTTATTTTTTTCAAATTTAAAAAACTTTTTTATTTAAACTGTTGAGTTCCGTATTTTATCCCTTTATCCCTTTCCTTCCCCTCCCCTGCCCTGAGATAGTAAGCAGTCAGATATAGATTATACATGTGCAATTATATAAAACATTTCCATATTAGTCATCTTGTACAAGAAGACTCAAATAAAAGAAAAAAAAGAAAGAAAGTGAAAAATAGCGTGCTTCTATCTGAATTCAGTCAATATCAGTTATTTCTCTGGAGGCAGATAGCATGCTTTATTGTTAGTCCTTTGGGATTATCTTGGATCACTGTATGCCTAAGAATAGTTAAGTCATTCACATTCTTCATTGAACAATATTGCTGTTATCGTACCCAGTGTTCTCCTGGTTCTGTTCACTTCACTATGCATCAGTTCATGTAAGTTTTTCTGGGTTTTTCTGAAATCGTCCTGCTTGTCATTTCTTATAGCACAATAATATTCCATTACAATAATATACCACAGCATGTTTAGCCATTCTCCAATTGATGGGCATCCTTTTGATTTCCAATTCTTAGCCACCACCAAAAGAGCTACTGTAAATATTTTTGGACAAATAGATACCTTTCCTTTTTTCGGATGTCTTTGGGATATAGATGTATCCGTGTTATTTCTGGATCACAGGGTATACACAGTTTTATAGCCATTTGGGCATAGTTCCAAATTGCTCTCCAGGAAGGTTGGATTAGTTCACAACTCCACCAACAGCGTGTTAGTGTCCCAGTTTCCCACATCCCCTCCAACATCCAACATTTTCCTTTTTTGTCATATAAGCCACTCTGATAGGTGTGAGGTGGTACTTCAGAGTTGTTTTAATTTGCATTTCTCTAATCAATAGTGATTTATAGCAATTTTTCATATGACTATAGATAGCTTTGATTTCTTCATCTGAAAACTGCCTTTTCATATCCTTTGACCATTTATCAATTGGGGAATCACTTGCATTTTTATAAATTTGACTCAGTTCTCTACATATTTGAGAAATGAGGCCTTTATCAGAGATACTTGTTGCAAAAATGTTCCCCCCAGTTTTCTGTTTTCCTTATAATTGTGGTTGCATTAGTTTTGTTTGTGCAAACTATCTATATCTTTTTTGGTCCTAAATTCTTCCCTTATCCATAAATCTGACAGATTAAACCATTCTATGTTCTCTTAATTTGGTTATGATATCACCCTTTAGGTGTAAATCTTCTACCATTTTCACCTTATCTTGGTATATGGTGTGATATGTCAATCTGTACCTAGTCTCTGCCATCCTGTTTTCCAGTTTTCCCAGTAATTTTTGTCAAATAATGAATTTTTATTCCAAAAGCTTGGATCTTTGGGCTTATCATGTAGTGGGTTACTATGGTCATTTACTATAATGTAATTGGTATCTAATCTATCCCACTGATCCACTGCTCTATTTCTTAGCCAGTACCAGATTGTTTTGATAATTATTGCTTTATAATACAGTTTGAGATCTAGTATGACTAGACCACCTTCTTTCGTATTTTTTTTTCATTGATTGCCTTGATATCCTTCGCTTTTGTTTTTCCAGATGAATTTTTTCTAGCTCTATAAAATAATTTTTTGCTGGTTTGATTGTTAGGCACTGAATAAATAGATTGATTTAGATAGTATTGTCATTGTTATTATATTGGCCTGGCCTAGCTATGAGCATTTAATATTTTTGTAATTGTTTAGATTTGACTTTATTTGCGAGAAAAGTGTTTTATAGTTGTGTTCATGTAGTTCCTGGGTTTGTCTTGGTAGGTAGACTCCCGAGTATTTTATATTGTCTACAGCTATTTTAAATGAAATTTCTCTATCTCTTTCCGCTAAAGCAGTAATACATACATACATACATACATACATACATACACACATATATATGCAATATATAGAGATGCTGATGATTTATGTGGGTTTATTTTGTATCCTGCAACTTTGCTAAAGTTGTTAATAATTTTCAAGTGGTTTTTTTAGTTGATTCTCTAGGATTTTCCAAGTATAATATCATATCATTTGCAAAGAGTGATAGTTTTGTTTCCGCATTGCCTATTCTAATTCTTTTTCTTCTCTTACTGCTATAACTAACATTTCTAGTACAATATTAAATAATCGAGGTGATAATGGGCATCTCTGATTCACTCCTGATTGTATTGGGAAGGCTCTTGGCTTATCCAGACTACAGGTAATGCTTGCTGATTGTTTTAGATAAATGTTATTTATCATTTTCAGGTAAGCTCCATTTATTCCTATGCTCTCTAGTGTTTTCAATAGGTCAAAGGCTTTGAAACTTGCTTTTTAAAAACAAAAATGCAGGACTTTACCGTTATTATTATTAAGTTTCATCTTGTTTTGTATTTTCTTTCCAGCTTTTGAGATCTTTTTGAATTCTGATTCTGTAAGATATTCCTCCTATTTTGTATCATGTCTTCTTGTATTTTTATCCCACTCATTAATAACATCGACTAAGGCGCTCTCATCCTCATCCATGCTTTAGCCATCTTCTTAAGTAAATGATTTCCCAATCTATATTACTAACCCTGAGCTCTTCCCAGAGGCACAGTCTTGCATTTTAAGCTACTTACGGGACATTGCTACCCGGATATCCCACTGGTGACTCAACTTCAACATTCTGTAGGAAAAACTGAAATCATCTCACCTCCAAAATTTGTTCTGCCTCCACTTCCTCCTTTCCACTCCCTAAATTGGTGGTACTATGGATCTCAGTCATCCAGACCCAGAGTCATTCTTGACTTCTACACCCATCCCTTCCCCTCCTATCAGTCCTCATGTCCTACCAAACTCTACCTTCTCAGTGTTTCTCAAATCCATTCCCTCCTTTCTATTTCACTTGGTACTCTTTTTTGTTTTGTTTTGTTTTTTTCGTAAGGCAATTGGGGTTAAGTAACTTTCCCAGAGTCACACAGCTAGTGAGTGTTATATGTCTGAGGTTGGATTTGAACTCAAGTCCTCCTGACTCCAGGGCCAATGCTCTATCCACTGAGCCACCTAGCTGCCTCCTCAGTTGCTACTGTTCTGATATAGCCTCTCTCTATACTGTCTTCAGTCTCTTCCTCCTCAAATCCATCCTCAGCCAGGTAGCAGGTATCTGATTGCTTACTATCTCAGGGTGGGGGAGTGGGGGGAAAGAGATGGAGGGATAGAATATGGACCTCAAAAGTTCAAATAAAAGTGTTTTAAAAATTGGAAAAAATAAAGAGCAGTTTCATGTGTATAGGCTGGAAAAGTAGGTGGAACCAGATCACAAAGGACCTCAAAATGCCAGGCTAAGTACTTTGGACTTCATTTGATTTGCGTAATGTACAATTCTTTCCTCATCATTGACTTCAGTCTTCAGTGGATCTCCATTACTTACTGCACTTAAAGCCCACATAGTTGATAGCTTGACATTCAGTAATCCAGCTTTAACCTAATTTTTCAGAGTTATCTCCCACTATTCTCCCATGATCTAGTCAAATCACTTAATTTGCCATTCTCTGAATATGTCTCCTTATCTTCCTACCTCTGTATGCTTGCTTATCCCCTTCCCAGGTCCTGGAACGCCTTTCCCTGCTTCTCTGCCATTTAAAATTTTATTTGTTTTCCAAACTCAGATGTCACTTTTTTTGTTGGGGTTAAGTGACTTGCCCAAGTCACACAGCTAGTAAGTGTCTGAGGCTGGTTGTAAACTTAGGTCCT